TACGCCGCATAGACCGTCGTAAGGAGAGCTGAAAGGGCAGCATTCAGCTGTTGGCTTCATTGGTGAGGGCTGACAGAAAGTCACAAGGCCTACATGAGCCTCAGCGACACCTGCTCCTTTTCACTGCTGGCTTTGTCCCAGCCTTCGTAACCATGAGGCAGATGTTGAGAAGGAAGAAACATATGGATAGTTATTTGTCTTACTTGGACATTTTGAGGTGTTTTAATTTTTTTTTTCTGACTTAGGAATGTGAATTGAATGTTGAACAAAGTAAATCTCTCTGTATTTACTTTCATTTATAAAACACTGACTGGTTCTGAATAAAACATACAGTAGGAAAAACCCTAGGAAATACCACGTTGCCTTTACTGTGTAACATTCATAATCTTCATACACATTTGAGGCGGGAAGTAAGCTCCTTTTGCAAAGGGGGAAATGGAGGCATAACACGGTTAAGTACCTAGGCTCAAGACTTGTTCTCAACTGACTCTGAATGTTGCCCGCACATTTTCAACCCCGCCTGCAACTGGACGCCAGGCTGCGAGGTTGTCCTGAGAAAGCCGCAGTGGTATCATGTTTAGGTGCCATTGATGCATAATGCTTGCTGCAGCTGGTGCAAAGAGACATTTAGATCAAGGACTGGAAGGAAAACCATGGGAAGACATGCCACCTGCTATGTTTAATGCTGTGGAAGCATTGACATCGACCTTGAGCTGCACAGGGAAGGATTCGGGTTGTGCACTAATCCACATACCATCTGAAACCACAAGTCCATCAGATAGTGGTTCTTGCCATCCCTTCCCTGAGCACAGCCAGTGTGGGATGTTTTCGTCTGGGTGTTTTAGCTCCACGGGTGGAAAGACAAAGCTACAAATCTTACATAAGGCAGTTGTGTAATCTTGAGCAAGTTGTCATTAAGCTTAGCTTCCTCAGCTATAACACAGAAGAAAAGCAACATACAGTATGTGTATGTATGTGTGTGTCTGTGTGAACTAAGTCTGTCTGTCACTGGGCCTCACCGATTAGAAACCTTAGCCTAGTTAGCAAGTTCCAGGCCAGCGAGAGAGCCTCTGCCTCCCCGCAAAACAAACAAACAAAACAACAATAACTAAACAAAGTGGACTGCGTTTGATAAATGACACCCAAGGCTATTCTCTGGCCTCCTTGTGTCCATGTACCCATATAAACACACACATGCACGCACACACACACACACACACACACACAATCACACAAATATGTCACTGAACATGGAGCACGTAACTGATAGTATTAGTCATGGGCAGGAAGTCACCGAGCCGGTTAAATGGGACACGAGAGAGCCGTGGCCCCTCTGATGATGTTCCAGGGCTTGTGAAGAGCGGGACTCAGCAGGTGTGTGAGCACTGGAGCCAAGAAAACGGCTGAAGCCAGTGGATGACGTTGGTGTCCAAGGAGACTTGTATAGACGAATAAATAAGCAAGGGCATAGAACTAACGGTACGTGACTTTTTTCACATAATGTTAGATGTCGTGTTCCAGTGGCCATTTGACTTCTTATCTTTTTGTGTCACAGTCTGTCCCATTGATTAAGACATAAGAAGCTATTGCTGTGTGCCCATGCTTTTAATTCTAAAAATGACAGTCTTATATGGTTCAACATGATACTTCTCTGATAGCCATTCAAAATCTAGAAAGCAAATTTCAAATTTTCTGACAGTCATCAATGTGGTTTTATGCTTATTTTCTGCATATTTCTATGGAGTATACTGTGGTGTAAAATGATTTTTAAAACCTTGATTTTCCATAACTGCTATAGTTGCTACAAATTTATTGGCTTAAAATAACAGATTAAAACAAAAACAAAAACAACCTTTCTGTTCTAGAGATCAGCAGTCCAACCTCAGTCATTGGGCTGCAGTTACTGGTTTTTTTGTTTTGTTTTGTTTTGTTTCGTATTTTCAAAGCTTGTTTTTCAGTGCACAGGAGGTTAGAGAAATGTTAAAAGGATGCTCTTCAGAGCTTTCTAGGATGTTTAGTGGGTGGGAGGAACCACGAAGAGAAACTGTTAGGTGAACTCACCTTCAATTCTATAACTGAACTGTTTATCACTACTAGTTTTGAAATTAATATGTAAAGCATAGTCTCAAACCTGGGCTGTTTGTCCCATCGCAGGGGGTCCTTTACTTAAATAGCCTCAGACACCAGTTAGATGACAAGTAGGTGACTCGGTGTGGGGAGGAGAGTCATAGAAGACAACCCAGAAAGCAGAAGCTGTTGAATGTGGTGGAAGAACAAGGAATTAAAGTGATCCCACGTAATAGTACAAGCCTTACAGTCTTAACCAGCATCCATTTAATTAAGCATTACCTCAAGATACTTCCCACAGCCATCAGATCATATCTGGGGTTACATGGTAGAAATGGTCATATTTCTGTGACTTCGAGTTAAGTTTTACTCTGTAGTGAGGCCTGGGCTTTAGTTTCCTTTTTAGCAGATATGGTTTTGTGGTTGCTGTTTTTATCATGTCTCTCTTATAGCAAAGCACTGGACGAACCAGCTAACGCAACAGTCAGAGGGCAGGAGGGATATAGGAATGGTCTGAGGCAAATGCCTTGTTTCACCACAGTGGAAGCCAAAGAGCCTCGGTGACAAGGTTCTGAGCCAGCAGAAGCCCTGACAGTCACAGTTAGCCCCTGACCAGAAGATCTCAGGACCCCACAATGCAGGAGTGTACTTACGTCTCCCTGTGGCACCCTTTATCGCCATTTATCATTTTAAACAGCAGCTCCATAGTGCATCGTGGGACAGGAAATGTAATAGAGAAACCATGTACTGTGGGTTGAAATGTGGTTCCCCCAAATTTTAAGTTGAAGTCTTATCACCAAATGCCTCTGGGTGTGGTTCTATTTGGAGCCAGGGCCTTTAAGAAGGTGCCTGGGATTGAAGTAAAGTCATAAATGTGGAGCCATAATTCAAAAGGACTGGTATCCACATAAGAACCAGGAATAAGAAACAGGAATAAGATGGCCATGAGGGGACAGTGGGGGGTGGCCATCTGTAGCCAAGGTAAAAGGCCATAAGGAAGCATTAAAGCTGTAGACACATTAACCCAGCACTTCCAACCTCGGGAACAGAGAGAAAGTCAATGTGGCTAGCCTGTGCTATCTACTGTGTTTAGCCCCAGCAAACTCCAAAGCCTGGCCCTGTTGTATATAGATGATGTTTCTGCCTGACCCTCAGCCTTCATTTATGAGCTCGCAGTTGTGGTTCTAAACATAATATTTCTGTCATGTTCATCTCTGACTATCAGGGAAACAGGGCGAGGTCTAGGCTGTGATGTTGAAGTCTCCAGCACGCACTGTGCCCACCTGTCCCCCAGGTGCAGCCTCACCTTCCTGATCTCACCTGATTGGCTAAAAAGAGTATTGCCACCCCACTAAGATGAAGCTAGACTGTTACCTCAAGTCCAGGAAGGCCACCAATGACACTTATTTCATTTCTCATTACATTGTTGAACCAAGTGCCCCACACAGTGGTTTTCTGTTGCGTTTATTAGATGGCATAGCAGCTTATTCCCATGCAGAATGCAAGTTTGCTCCAGGAAGCACAGTGCGAGCAGCGGGCAGCCTGGACTTGGCAAGGTTGCATCATCAGTCGTTAGAGAGAACTTTTTTGTAAACACTCTCTACCACTCAGTAGGCAGAGGCAGGTGGATCTCCAAGTTCGAGGCCAGAGTGAGTTCCAGGAGAGCCAAGGCTACACAGAGAAATCCTGTCTCAAAGAACAAACACAGAAACAAATGAACATGAAACATTGTAAATAATTTGAGTATAATGAGTTCAGTTAACATTGTCCACACTTCTGTCACTATAGTATAGTAATAGTATCCTGTCCTGGCATTTTGAAAACCTGCTTATATCCTATGAAGAGTTGGGGCTGTTGGTGTACTTTTTGTTGTTCAGTTTAGATTAACATCACTTTATAGCACATTCTAATATCTGAATAGGTCATATTGCTTTTTCTCTATTGAATTACTGCTTTGTAATATTTAGATCATTATTTAAGTTTTTTTTTCTCCCTCTGTAAGGGAACTTAAAATTTTAAGCTATTTAAAAATCTTGTTGAGTAGTTATGCTAAATCTATAAACAGGATGTCCAAATTCTAGGTTTCTAATTGGGTTGAAATAGGTAAATACCTAACCCCTGGCTTCCTTTAATGAGCAAGAAAGACTGTGATTTGGCAAAGCAGAGCATGAGACCCAGACGTTCTAGACAACTAAGGAGAGTACAGCATCTGCTGGTGTTCGGAATGTAGAATCCAAAGCTACAATGGGAGTAGAACCAGCCCTGCCCTTACAAGCTTGACCTGTTCGCTGCAAATGGAGTAATTGGAGTGGCAATCTCATGGAGCTATTAGAAAAAAAAAAACAACTGGTATTTGCAAATGCCTTCCGTAGTGTTTATCAACAAATGTTGGTCATATTAAGGAGAGTTTGTGCTATTGAGATGGTTTGGGGGTTGGAAGAGGCCAGCTTACCTGTATTTCTTTTCCAAATCTGAGTCTACCTCCTACAGTTTGGTAGGGCAGCTAGCACTCAGAGAGGACGCTTGTTATCTAGTCTCTGGCCTACACCATCACTGAGGAAGAGCTGTTGAGCTTTGCACCTGACTTCTTTATTGTTGCTCTCTGGCACAAGTCCCCTGGCCTCCTGGCAGAAAAAAAAAAAAAAAAAAAAAAGCTGGATTTCATTAAAATTCAATCTCACTTGATACCATCTCTGCTGGATATTAGAAAGGATTGTTGCCAGTAGGAGCAGCCTGATTAAGAACAGATTCAGGATGGAATGTTCTAAGTGCTCTAAAATTACTATTTATAAGGCTCTCCTCCTTCCTACCTGCCGTAGCCACCAGGCCCAGGTTGGTGGCCCTCCCCATCTCAACTCACCCACAGGAGATCAGCCAAGCTGCCCTCACTGTCTCCTGCTGGATACTGAGATGAGTCTGCGTTCCTGTTTCAGGTGCCAGTGCTCTACCTTCGTCCCAAGTGCCCACTTTGAGGCCCTCCGTATGAGTGACACACCAGTCTGCCATGGAACCTAGCCCTGCCCTGGCCTGGCTCCTGCTGCTGAGCCTGGTGGCCGACTGTCTAAAAGCTGCTCAGTCCCGAGACTTCACAGTGAAAGACATAATCTACCTCCACCCTTCAAGTAAGACGATTTTCTGTTTGTTCTCTTGTCTGGAAAAAAACAAAACAAAACAAACAAACCAACAATGTTGCTTCATTTCTGATTAGAAAAGAGTTGAAGCATGTCCAGGGAAAGCAACCTTAATGCAGGCGGGACAAGAGGTGGTTTAGTTAGAGATGCAGAAGTTAATAAAAGTTGCCTTGTGTTTTATTACCCCCACCTTTCCCCAGGATGTTTGTTTTATACCTTAAATGATGAGGCTCGTTTTCTCTGTTCCCTATACATCCCGCTGACTTTACATACCCTTTGCTGTGTTGTTCTCAGCCAGCTATCAAAGGGAACTGGCCCATCCCCGGAGGTCGCTTGTTTGAAAAGGGATTAGACCTTTAGAGCGTGGATAATAGCTGGTCTTTCTCCCTGGCATCTTAGCCTCAGTTAAAACATCACTGCCTGACACAACTTCCTGTTGCATGGGCTTCTGGATTTTCCATGGTTAACAATTCTCCAGGGAGTCCCCAGTAGTGCAGGTCCCCAGCAGCAGATCTCTGCGCCTCCCCCACCAGTTTCTGATTTGCATACGTCATGGGGTCTTACTTGTGCTTCATGCTCTCAGCAAGAATTTTGGGTTCTTCTGCTACCATACCCTGAGACTACACTTTGGGAAGCTTTCTCTGTTGGTCCTCATTGCTCTTTTATTTTCTGTTTCACTCTTCAGTATTGCCCTTGTTGTGGTGAGCTGGACTTTAGCTGTTGCACCAAAGTATATTATTCTTTTTAAAGGTCTGTTTTATGACAAGCATTGTGATAGGCATGAAAAGTACAGTACACAGGCAATTAAGACACGGTTCTTCCTTTTGAAGATCATACAGTGTGCAAAGAGGAGGCAGCTACTTGGACTTTCCCAGTCTCACAATGCTAGAGTTCTTATTTCCTATAGGTAGGGAGATGGCGTGTGCTGGACACCCAGGAGCCTGACCTTGGCTCTCTGCAACTAGCTCGGCTGTTCCCTCATCTAAAGTAAATCCTGACTTGAAACAAAGCCCCTGGCTTCCTGACTATTACATAACATAATGCACAGGAAAGTTAGCTCCGACTGTGAGCTGTGGTAAGTCCTCAGCCAACGTGAGGGATGTTTGTCCGTTTATTTATAACCTGATAAAATTATACATGCACTATAGCATTGTTTTATGGACCAGAAATAATATCTGTGGAGCAGCAGACCTGTACCCTATAGACAGACAGCCTCCTGCTGCACCTGTGCCCTCACTGGCAGAGTCCACCTACTGTACCTCAGTCTCTGCTGGTCGGGTCTGCCTACTGTTACTTGCATGGGAAATTTATCTGGCTGCTCGGTTTTGTGGGAGTTTTGGCCCCATTTTAATAATTTAAGAAGATACTGATCATCCCTTTCCTCTCTAGGTTGCGTTTTGTTATTTGCCCCAACAGCCAGGCACAGGAGTCGTTGGCAGAATGCTGGCCTCTTCGATGTTTTCTGGCACCATTAGGGAGAGACTCAGATCACAAAGTTGTCCATCAATGGTCACTTCTAAGGCATATACAGGGTAGGAGTTAAAAACTGAAATGAACGGGTTTATGGAAACCAGGATTAAATACACGACTTTTTCCTCAGTAAGGTAGCCAATTAGTGCCTGGGGGGAAGTAGGCACCTATTTGGAAAGTTGATATTAGTGTTGTCCTTGAAGGTGAATTTTGACAGGCCACAGGGGAAATCACTTCTACTCTTTAAGAGTCGAGGGAAGCTAGGTGGGGTGGCACATGACAGTAATCCCAGCACTCAAGGGGCTGACAGGAGAGTTTGAGCTACCTAGTGAGTTCCAGGCCAGCAAGCACTACACATCAACACCTTGTCCCTATTAAAATGAAATAAAATAAATTAATAGACAAGTTTCACTCATGTGACCTGTGTTAACTAAATAAGAACCATGGGATTTTCTGACAAGATTTTGGAAGGTGAAAAGGGTTGAGGAAGTCGTTTCTGACTAGATTGTAAGCAGGCCTCTTCATAGGTCACAGGCAGTGAGAACTCTTGCTGGACAGCAAAACTTTGCTATTCTGCCCATGTTGGAATAGGCTTAACTTCACATTTCTCTAAACTAGTCCAGAAGTGTGTCGAGCGTGTTTGTTTTCACTTTTGCTTTTTAAGAAGCCATGCCTCTCTGCCCTTGAGCCCTCACTCCTGCTTAGATGGAGTGTCGTCTCTACCACAAGCAAGTTTCTGTTGAACATTGGCCATGAAAAATACATGAGGGGAACACGGGATTAGTTTGATTTTTGAATTATTTATACAATTGCCTCACTTTGTAGGTGGAGGTGCAAGCGGCTTTCTCTGGGTCAGTGAGTGAGCCATAGTCTATTAATGTTATATGGACAAGCACAGCGTCTGTCCACGGAAGAACACGGAGGGGCAAGAAGCTTGAGAACACACAAGTTTTCTATGCCAAACAAGCTTACTGTTTTTAGATCCAGACAGCATCAGTGATGGTTACTGGGCTGAGAAAACCAGCCTCTCCTCACTAATCTCCCGTGCTTTCTTGTTGCCAAATCTTTGAAGTTTCCAAGTATTATAAGAAACAAACTATGGATTTTAGATTCGTCCTTCAGAACATTCTGTTCAACAATTTGTATGTGCTTTTCTTCTTCTCCTTCTTCTTTTTTTTTAATGTGAGAAGTGGTGTTTTCTTTTTCCATTCTCTGGTTAAATCACGAAAAATCAAATTACTATTCCCAAACATGAGTTAATATTGAGAGAAATGGAGCTATTTATTTCGATGTCAGATATCACACAATAGAATTTAATAAAATGACTGTGCCCTGTTCTTGGCCTCCGTTTCTTTCTGTAGAATAGAAAACACTCCTGGAAAACAATCCAATTTTCTTTTTGCGTGTGTGTTCTGAGCCCTTCTTAATCTTGTGAATTAAAGAGCGAGGGCCTTGCATATGCTCCGCAGAGGGAACCAAGGAAGCTCATGCACAATCCTACCCTTTGTTAAATCTTATAGAGTCAGAGGACTTCTAGATAGCCACCAGGAAGCATATTCTAGTAGAAATGTGTCCATGTAAAATTATCAGCAATATTTTGTTGCTCAGTGGACCAAGACAAAAGATGTTAGATTTTTAAGAATTTTTCATATTTTAGTCCATTTTCTAAAATCACACTGGAAAACAATTTGGTGAGAGTAGACATACTGCACATCGGCATACATTTCGAAGCATCTGCTTTCACCACATTTCCAGTAACTGAAGGTCTTTGTCCAGGCAAAAGTTCCAGGAGAGGGAAACAAAGGCTAAATCTTCCCTGATGCTTTACAGAAGAATTATTGGAAGCTTGAACTATAGCTGACCATGAGAGTTAATGGATAGATTATCTTACGGGAAGTAACTGTGTACTCCGGTGTTTCTTTTTTTTTTTTTTCTCTTTACAATCACCCTCTCTTGAGGGACCAAGGCCTTATGCCCTGAAATGCAGGGCACTAAGCTTATTAGCTCTGTGATCAAGAGCCAAATTAGATTCATTCACAGCTGGGGCCACCAGGATCTGAAATCCGCTCACTCTGCAAGGCTTTGAAGTAATAAAGAAGAAAATAGCACATCTTAGGAACCTCTTTCCCTGTCTCTTGAAAGAAAAACAAACTCTTTATCAGATGCAGTATCAATTAACAAGGTACTGGAGAGAATTGTTCATTTGTTGACCTTATTCAGGATAAATATGTTCAGAGGGAAAAATTTAACCTTTTATTTGGTATTGTACTGTAGTCACTTAAAGTCAAATCTGCTTGCAAAGATTTGTCAGAAATCAGTGTTATTCACTGATCCCCAGGCGAGATGTCAACAAAAATTCAGGTAAACAGATATTAGGCTACAGTTTTTGAGAAAGCAAAGAGACATGGATTCAAAGGTTTTACAACAAGATCAGGCAGGGCCTACAGAGATGGCTCAGCGCTTCAGAACACTGGATGTTCTCCCATAGGACCTGGGTTCAGTTCTTAGCGTCCACATATTATGTCAGAAACATCTGTAACTCCAGTTCTAGGAGATCCAACGCCCTCTGCTGGCCTCCTCGGATCCTAGGCTTTTTAGTGGTATACACAGCCATACATGCAGGCAAAACACCCATACACACAAAATTTTGAAAATGAAGGAAGTAAATAATAACAGAAATGACTGACCAAAATGAGGAGCATTTGTTCAGTCACCAGTGGCATATGCTGATAATCTCATTTAGGTCTAAATGGTTTGAAACAAAGCCTCATTTTGCTGCATAGTGTTCTAGCTCATACTTCTCTTCAAATTCTGCTGTCTTTAGGTTAATTTCAGAGTGAGAGTTTAGTTATGGAAGAAGTGGCAGTATTTAATTTAATGTCATCAGTCTCCTACAAGATTATTTTTGAGGAGGTGATTAAATCATCCAACTTTGGGAACACAACAACCTATTCATGTTTGGTTCTCAATAACTTTGTTCTCAGAGCAGTTGGGTGGTTATTATTCAGAGTTTTAAATTTATCTCTTTGATGGGACGCTTTCAAGGAATCAAGGCAGCCAAAATTGGTTTGGCTACAGTAACAGACCAATAAAATTGGTTATTCTGGTGAATTAATCATGTGGACTGGAGTGGTACAGCTGGCTCACAGTCACAACCCATGGTGTATATGATGATCATTGTTTGAAAAATGCTTTTTTCGTTGACTTTTTTATATTTGCTTTTTTTTTCAAAGTTCTGTTTTCATTATTCTACTGTGAATTTTACAAAGCATTTTAGATTTTTACCTCTTAAAGTGATTTATGTGTTAAATATGCTAAAGTTAATAGTGAAACTTTTTAATGTATCAAATCAGTGTAATTTCCTAGAATGGTTATATGGTTTTTCTCATAATGATATTTGTAAAATACAAACCTATTACAATGTCCATAAGACATTGAGTGGCTTTGAGATTTGAGACTCCACTTCTTCTGCTTCTTCTTCTTTTACTCTTTTATTCTTTTTTTTTCTTCAGTTGTTCTGGCATGTACTCACTAACATAGAATCTTTCAACTAAAATATGACAGACTTTTCTAGATGCTAAAAGGGGAAGCTGAACTAATTACCTGTGTATGCTTCACAAAAATATTTTCTTCTACTTTATGAGATTCTGTGATAGAACATTTTTCCCTGGTGCCGTTCCCTCCTGGCACTGGAGTGACTGTCTCTAGGCTGTTTCCATAATTTTTCAGAACTGACCCATATCCTTATTTTTAACCTATTTATAAATTCGGGTTACTGAACAGTGGGAGAAACATAGGACTCTCGCATGGGCCCATGAAAAGGTTCAGTTTTTCAGACAGTTCACAGCTACTGGGCATGTCCAGGCACTATCACCACAGTTCATTCTGTGAAATATCGCAGGCAAGTATGTGAATGGGCAAGGTGAAAAATCAGTTTTATCTGGACCATAATTCTGGTCTTAAGCTGCTGCCTCCTCCTTCATCTGTTTTTGGTAACGTGCTTAATTGGTTCCATGTGGGCCATGCAGTTTACCCCGGGGTGATTATTTCCACCAGTGGGATCCTCGGGCTCAGCCATCTGTAAGCGAGAGCTGTTGGCTGCCGCAGATGAACTGTGTGTGCCTGCAGCTTTCAACTAGGCCAGCATTTAAACGCGCTCTGGGTCTGATTCTGAATGTCAGAGATTTAAGTGTCAAAGCCAGCAAAGACACAGCTTAGCTGAAAGCATACAGGCCAAAGGACAAGAAACCAGAAGACCCCTGGCCTGGCATGGCTTGTTGACCCCTTGTCTTGTGCTGACAGAACATCCTGGCGCACTGAGCACTCCTAGAGCCTGGGTCTTAGGTTACCCCTTCCCTGGGCTTGCAAACAGGACAGAGAACAAGTGGTACTCGGAGGACAGTCTCTTCAGAAGGCACGACTCCCAACCCAGCCATGGAGAGAGGATGGGAAAGATCAGCGCGCTTTGCCGGAATTGCGTGAACCACACCCTTCTCCAAACAGTATCCGCATAGCATTGGTGCATGCAGTCCATTCCAAATTCTGCCATTTCAAAAAATGGACCCACATGGTCTGTGATTGGGCAAGGCGGCTCTGCCCCCAAGCCTTACCTCATGGGTCTGCTTCCCAGGAAACCACTTTGGTGGGAGGAGAGAACCAATTCCTGCGGGCTGTCCTCTGTCTCCGTATGCATGCTTCGGAACATGGGCACACACACACACATACATACATACATACATACATACATGTATGCATAAATACAAAAATATAAGAATAATAAAGTAATAATATAACTATAACCATACACCTTTCTGATTGACTTTTTCTTTATGAATAGTAACTCCGAGGAACTTTATTAAAGCTGTTGAAAATATTAATAATTCGTTCCTTTGTATTTGTGTCCGGTGTTCCGGAGTATGGATGCACACAGTTTGCCTAACCCACTCGCAGATCGATAGGCATTTGAGCTGCTTACAACTTGGGGTCATTATAGGGTGACTTTCCTGTGTCTGAAGCTCCTGGCACTAGAAGTGGCTCAGGTGTTGTATGATTTGGGACTTCGGACTATCTACATGTATGTAATGAAAAATCTCGGGGTGGTCTAGAGGCCACGTTCATTAGTTTCATATATTCCTTGTAAATATCCTCGACTTTTATGTAGCCCCTGGAGGAATTCTGTGGAGTCTTTTCAATACTGTAACTGCTCACATACGGTCAGGTATGGAACTTGGGTGGTAAAATGTTGGTGCTCAAAAGTTTCAGATTTGAGAGCATTTTAGATTTCATATTCACGGATCAGGCGTGGGCAGCCTTCTCAAATATAACCAGTTGGATATTTGTATGCAGATTTTTGTGTGTGAGTACAAGTGCTCCTGTCTCAGGAATAAACTTCCCAATGTAAAATGCTGAGTCATCAGACTTCAATTTTGTTAATTTTTCAAATTTCAGTTAATTTTTTTTTTCACCTTCAAGATATCTTGAAAACCCCTGTTTAAAATTAATATGTTTAACTTTACAGGATTCTTTGCTCAGTCTGAAAATCGATTTTTTTTTCCCTCTTGGTTTTTTTGTAGCCACTCCATATCCTGGTGGATTTAAATGTTTCACCTGTGAGAAGGCGGCAGACAATTATGAATGCAACCGATGGGCTCCTGACATCTACTGTCCTCAAGGTAAAGTCTCACTGAGAGATGGAGTACCCAGAGCTGCGTGAGAGTGAGCAGCCCTGAAGGTTTGGGCACGTGCTTGTCATCACGACTGCCCCTCTTGTCCAAGTCTGCTGGCACATCTTCTAAGCATATCCATGGCTCATCCTCAAAGACTCTAGGATAGAAAAGGTCCCATAAGATCACTCCATTTCTCATGAAGCATCTCAGGAGCTCCACAGGAGGTAACTGAGACTTCTCTACCCTGGGGCGAGCCAAGTGTGGGACAGTAGAGAATGGGCAGCCTGTTTGCCACTCTTTGAAGCCTTCATCCACAGTAACTCCTTTCATGTGGAGGATGAATCGATGTTCATGTAAAGATTTCATTTATTGCCCATCTTGCCACAGACTTACATTTTGAGACTGTGTGAAAGCTGGCGTTCTAAATGTCATCACTGCATAAATAAAAACCTTGAGCTTTTCAAACTGCTAAGTCCTTTTTCAAGGACGAGATGGACTTCTATTGAAGCTTGAAATTTTGACCATAAAGGCTCATTTGAAAAAGAAGACACATCCTATTCATATAGGAGACGGTGTTTTCGTCTGTCTGTGAGGTCATGGCTAATTGGCTGTTTTAGTCTGGAGGGAAGTAGCCTGGTTGAGTGGGAGGGGTGAGGAACATGGGGCCCTCCATTGACAGCTGGCTTAGCAGTGAGTGCTTTTCGCTGTTGATTTAATTCAGACTTGTTAAAAATGACGAACACACCAAATGCAGTATTTTTCAAAATAATCCAAGATTCCTCATACCCAGCCCAAAGAATACCCCGCTGCTCCTCATGGTGGACTGGAAACTGGGAGAGCTAGGACAGCACTAACTAGTAGGCAGAGGACAGTTGCTCAAGCTCATGCCCTATGCCCCAGACTCTCCTGAGGCTTTCCAGAAGCACAGAGAGAACTGGCTGAAAACCTGGGCCTGGCCTGCCCCAGGGGCTGTCAAACTGCATTGTGACCACTGTCCACGCTGTGGCTTATGGTAGAACAGGTGTGTGCGACTGGCCTACTCCCTGACTCACCTCCATATTAGATCCATCGGGTCTGAAATGAGCCTGAGAACTTGCCTTTCCAAAGGTAGCTTATGGGAGCAAATGCAGCCACATCAAGTACCACAGATCTACACAAATTGAAGCAGCCTCAGAGGTTTGGGCCCTGCATCTTTATTTCTAAATATGCCTGGTGTTCTTTTGAACAGTCATGCATGAGAAATGCTGGAAGCTTCTTTCCCTCCTAAGAGAGAAACATCTCATTTCTAGAGTCATCTTGTTTACTTTTAGGCAGTGATGTCTGGGGAAAGAAAACGGTGATGATAGCAAAGCCTGGCTTAATCACAAGGTCGCTATCCAGTCATCTTGGTAACCCGTGCCCTATCCCTGTTTCCTTCTACAGGCATCGCTTTCATCCAAAATGAGTCCGTGCATGCTTGTTCTGACATTAGCACTGCAGAATGAACACTGCGGCTGCTGCTAAAGTGAGCAGTGATTGCAGCCAGCTAGTAAATGCTCAGATGCATCAGTGCCCAGAGTCCCTCCCGGACGTTGCTTTTTTACTGGCACCAGGTGTCTCTGAGGACAGACTTTTAAAAGTTCCCCGAGTGACTCCACTATGCAGTAAAATTTGGCAGTTATCAACAGTGACTGTGGACAAATCCAGGAAACTGCTGTAGGGCTCCTCCTGGAACGGATCTGGCCAGCTGAGCTGGCTTCTGGCATTGTTGCCAGTTGCTAGAACATGCTATCTGGATCTCAGAATTAGAAAACAACAGAAATTCATTTCCCACAGCTCTGAAGACCATAAAGCCCAACAGCAAGGCTCCAGAAGGTTCCATGTCTGGAGAGTGTCGGACACCATGCTTGTGACATGGCACCTTCTTGCACCTTTCAGAGGACAACTGTGTTATGTATTCACAATGGAAGGCAGGGTGGAAAGGAGTGAACCCACTTTGCCCAGGTCTTTATAGGTGTCCCAGGCCAACCCATGAGGTCTTTGCCTTTCTGACTTAACCACCTCTTAAAGGCTCCACATTTAATGCCATGCTACAACATAGGAATTTTGGAGGACACGCTTAGCCAGTAGCAGCACGTGACTGCTTGAGGTTGACTTAGCTCTCAGCTACCTTAGCAGAGCTTACAGAGAAAAGGAAGGAATGTTAGCTGGTATTTACAGACTTTGGCAGACAAATCCCTCCCTGCCACAGAAGACAAAACACAGGTGACCAGAAGCACCCTGCTGGAATGCCTCTACAGGAAGAGAGAAAGCTCTATCTTGATGCTTTCTTTTATAGATCAGAATCTCCCCTTTCAAGGTACAGATAACTGAGAGTAGCTGAGAGGGCCTTACACAAGGTCTAGTACAAACGTTATCCTTTCCCTCCTTTCCGTTCCTCTTTTATCTCTCTGTTCATACTTTTATAATGACAAATACAGTTGCACTCTGAGTCCATGACAAAGCAGCCAGGCCAGGCCCCTGGGACAATTATGCAGAGGAAGATAGGAATCTAGTTTCTTCTTTCTAGGAGCAGACAGTTTACCCTGGATGATAAGATCTGCCCGGATCAGGTGTTAAGAACAGCAGGTGAAAGTTAAGCACTCATGAGAGGGGCCTTAAGTGCTGTGGGAGCTGAAAGGAAGAAGAGTAGCTGGGGCCTGAGGGGCAGTGGCTCTTCAAGCAGGGGAGATGGTAGCGATTCCACTAGGAAGTGGGCTTAGAATATTTAAAAAGGCAGCTCTTTCGAAGGTACTCGAAGGGCAGGGGTGTGGGCACCGAACTTTCACACGTGCCCATCAGATGGGGAGAGACCTGACCTAAAAGTAGGAGGGAGTCTGTCTGTATCAAAGACTAATTAATAGTCAGATTCTGTGCCGGGGCTATCTATTTTGAGTACCCTTGAGCCTCAATGCCTGAACCTGAGAAGGGGTGAAAGTGCAGGGGTCTTCTGTTGGCAAGTCGTTTGTGTGGATTTTTATCAATTAAAAATAATAGCCATGTTATTAAACTAAAATGCAGACTTTCTACTGAGTCTTTCTGCATTTGTGTTTTCTGCTTACCATTAACCAAAGGCAACCGCAGATGACCAACAGGCTTGGAGATGCTGTGAGAAGCTGCTGTGGAAAGGCATGATGGCTTCCCGTGGCACCTCTGTGCCACCATGTGTTTACGTTGTGACATGCTTAGCCAGGTTTTAATCATCACAGGGTAGGAAAATTACTTGTTGAGGGCGAAAGGACCACATGAGCATTTGCTGTTGTCTGTGTAGAATGAGGCTGCAAAACCGATTGCTTGGAATATGAATCAGTCTCAAGTTTTCAAAAGCAGAACTCTATGGAGTGTGTGGGCTTGGAGATCTAGCATGGCATCACATCTGTCTGAGACCGATGGAGTTGACATCACTTGGCTGTGACCCCACAGGGCATACAACATGCTACAAAGAAGCCTGGCCTGGGCTAGAATCTTCCCTATAGGGAAGATTAATTAGCTGCAGGTTAATTAGCTGCACATGTAGCTGCTGCAGGTTCACTGTAGCTTTTTTTCAGGGTGAGAGAAAGTAAGAATGTCCTTCTGCATCACCTTACTTCTCAGACCCTTACAGATTCATGGCAATCCCTGCTCCAGCACTCCCTTGCTGATTCTGGTTGCTGCATGTTTTGCTACACCTGCAGTTTCAGCACACTCTTTTCAAAGCTGGTCACTTTTCCTTGATTTTGTAAACAGAAATGATACTGAGATCATATGATACAAGAGAGACCAGATGATGCAAAGTAGGAGCTGAGATTCACGTGGTCGGCTACATCATTTTGCCCATGACATCTCTGTGTTGAGAGAGGAACTACATAAATGTTTATCAAGAGTCTGGAGGTTAAATGTCATCTCAAAAGACCTGACCTGGAAATGTTCTGTCCCTTCACAAGGAAGTCCTGCCATCTCCCCCAAGGGGAAAAAAATATCTTCCTTTGAAGTCTTTCTGATAGAAAAGCAGAAGAAAATTCTAAGATAGGAAGCAGGAATCCTCTGCTCCTGGCTTCTCAGCTGCTCCAGGTTTTCTTGTGAAAGCAAATCACAGAAGATGTCCCTTAGTGGTCCTTTCTGGGCACTGGTCTGGTGGGGAGATTGGTACAAGCAGGAAATAGAAATGAAACCCCCAGTTCAGCTGAAGAGAAGCCCATGGTACCATATTTCTAGGAAAGGCTATTTCATTGTCATCACTCCTCAGACAAGCCAGTTCCTGGCGCATCCTTTTCTGATTTATTTAAAATAAGAGTATTTTGTTTTTCTTTCTTTTAGGCAAATTTACATTTTGGATATAGCCCGCCAAAGCTCTTCACTTTATATCAAGATATCCCTAAATCCCATTTTAACTCAAGGCTTGGAAACTTCCTGGGATAGGAAAATCAGAATCTTACTAAGTATGTACGCTGGAGATCTTTCCATTTTTGGAAAGTTCATTTTGATACCTCTGGCTAATAAGCAATGAGAGAATTTTTAGTTGTTCTGTCTTCTCATAGTACTGCAATTCTAAATGGAGCTCTTAAATGGCCCCCTTTTAAAATAGAGACATGAGAAAACTCGTAAGTGAACATCTTATTGTCTTTATCAGCTTCTGAATGTGTACCACCTATATGAAACCATGAAACCCTATAGCTCTCTCAGTCATTACATCCCACCCCAAAAAGGCAGTAATAGTGTGTCTGCTGCCGTTGACTTCTGTGTAAATGCAGCTCTATGGGATGTGTTCCTTGCTTTTAAAAAATATTAAGTGCGACATTATAGTGTTCTGTGAGCTGCAAAGTTAGTCTTTTTCGTGGATGTTTAGTATATCATTATGTGCATACACCAAAATTCGTCTATTCTGCTGTGGTTGACATTTGGGCTGTGTTCAAATGTTGGAGAGCATAAATGTTCTTCTCTGTTTTGTAGATATATGTATTCCTGCAGGTCTATTCAGGAAGAGTGGTTGCCAGGCATGGAAATGCTAG